GACTACCACTTCTTGGCTGAGTTGCTGTTGTTCCCAGTTGCTTCCACTTTGTTATAATACCACTAACAGTTGACCATGGAATATTTAGTAGCTAGGAAATTTCATGGACGGACTTACTGCACAAGTGGCAACCTATCACAGTACTTTGCTTGAATTCACTGAGCTCCTGAGGGTGACCCATTCTTTCACAAATGTTTGTAGAAGCAGTCTGCATGCCTAGGTGCTTGATTTTATACACCTGTGGCCATTGAGGTGATTGGAACACCTGAATCCAATGATTTGGTGGGGTGTCCCAATACTTTTGGCAATATAGTGTGTATATATCTTTAAAAAAAATGCAGAAACTTTTTGAAGAACCCTCATAAAACAGTATTTCTACTGAAGACTCAACAGAAAAGCTACTAGGTTTATTGACTTTTCACAATGTCTGGAAATCCACATAATTTACCCACTAGAGAGGAACTAGAAAGGAAATTGTTTCTGAAAACTGCTGTTTTTCCCCAGTAACAAAAATATAACAGAAAATTACTCTTCTTAAAAGTCAACAGTAAACACCATGTAGGAATCAAAATCCTAGATTTTTTTTTTAAAAATAATGGATATTGATGCTCATGAGCGATTTTGCTTCTTCTGTGAATACATATACAATATTCCCACTGTTTTACTCTGTTTGGAACAGCTACTGTAACATGCCATTCCTTTTACTATACAGCACTTGTGTTCTTTTTGCTCAGATACAACTAAGCTCTATGACTTTTATGCTGTAACATTTGCTAATCACAGCACACTCTTTCCAAACAAGTACACCATTATTCCTAACCTAAATGTGAATTTTACTTTAGTATAAAATACATTCTGTGAAATCACAGACATCCACAAACAGAATGACTAAACAAGACCAAATGCACAAAGACTGTAAAAATGTCTTCTATATTTGCATTTCCTAATTTATTTACTCTGCTTATCATACAAGCTTGTACTGTTCACCTACAACATTAAAGTGAACTTTTGGCTATTTTAAATGTTTTAAATCAAACGTTCTGCCTAAAAAAGCAGATACTACAAAATATTTTCTACTTACTAATGAAAAGTTAAAGAGTGATTTACTAATATTTTATGTGCTCTGCATAGGTGTGGTAAAGCCGAAAACATACCCATAGATATTAGAAGATTTTATAGGAATTCAAGTATGCAGTAAGAAAATATTCTAGGTCTATGGAGACTCTAAAACCTGTGTAGATACTCCCTGACCAACACATATCAGGAACCAGATTGGTTGGGATAGACTTCCTCTTTCTTTTCCTAATTCAAGGTATGTCTGCATTGTACTTAGAGGAACTTGGAGTATATGCACAGCCAAACCTTTTTATTTTGTCTTAAATTGAGTAGGGAAAACTTAAACCTCCTTTCTGTTTATTTTTCTTTAAAGTAGTATTAAAGTATAAGTAAAGGTAAAACATTTTTTGGATAGAGAGGAGAGGTTTTAGAACATTCATCAGTTTTTATTGATGTCTGTTTCCCTGTTAGGGAGATTCACCCTTTCTATTTGTCCTGTTTACCATTATCATTGGAAAATGAAAGTAAAAGATAATCCCAAGTCCCCAAGGATTCAGTGGGGATTTCCTCTCACTTCCCATGGGAAAAGTGCAGGCAATATCTCTGCAATGGGACAGAGGAGGCGAAAAAAAAAAGTCTGACAGGGGTTATAACACTCCCTTGGTCTATCCAAAATTTAAAAAACGTTTTGCCTATAGTTCTACGTTAAACCCTCAGCATTGTGTAGTTTAACACGTTGATCACAACGAAACAAAATTCCACAGTAAAATATTTGCTAATATTACAACTTGCTGATGGCTCCTGTTCTGTCTGTTCAGCTTCTGTGAACTTCCAGTCTTCACAGGTAAGAGTTAACAGTGGACAGTGAAGTCTTTTAACTTCGAGAAGCGAGGTGAGAGAATGAGGGAGGAGCAGGAGAGTGCCTTGCCATGCTAGGATTTGGGGTTGTGTGTTTCTATTGATGAACACAGTGTAGGGACTCTAGTCCTTGCATGCAATGGTGGCTTCGTAGGATGTTGCAAGACAAAATGGGCCACCCTGAAACAGGAAACCTGGAGGATACCTAGGGCAAAGGCCATGGCACCAGCCTATCTGGAACATAGGCAAGGATTAAAATATAAAGAAGCTACATACTCAGTATGTTACTAAATCAGCTTTTGAGAAGAACTGGAAACTGTGGATGTAATATCACTTTAAGGAGAAATGGACACACCCCCTTAAAAAAAACTGAAACGGTTTCTTTAAATTCTGAGAAATGAGTTGTAAAGCTCTTTCCCCCTCACCTAATGGTAGTAGGCAATAGAATTGCAATTATCGCAACCATTAATCTTATAATACCAGTTTTAACTGAAATTCAAGATACTATTTAAGAGATCATCATCACTAGATTAATAAAAAGATGAAAACTACAGATCTTTAAAGTGTTTGTAAACCCTTACATATACCCAATGAAGTGACTGGCCTCAGGTGATACAAATCCTACTATATAAGCTGTATTTGTTTATCTGCAGTATTCTCTTCTCTGCATCAGTTCAAAGTGCAGAATTTATAAAGCTTTTCTGAGATGTCAGAAAAAAGGTGGCGGGGGGCTGAAGTTACACTCTGCAGAGCTCAGTGAGGAGAGCTCTGGGAGCAGATTGGAGGGAAGTGACACACCCTTCACACAGCACACAGGGACAGATCTGAGGCTGTCAATCAACTGGAGGTCACCTTCTTTTTCTTGGTGTCAGGAAAACTTGTCAGAAGTGACTCATGCTAATTGACAGAAACAACACTTAGCGCTCTTAGTACACACTATAGATGGATATGTTTTGTTCATATTTCAGGTCTGAGGTTTACAACTACTGTAACAAAAATGGCAAGTTCAAACCCCCCCAAAAAAAAAAATATTGCGCTGTGCTGAAAAGCAAATCACACTGTTCCCTCACCTCAGCTCACTCCAAATAAAAACTGACAGATTCCCACATGCTAAAATAAAGCACATGCTGCAGTGTAAATGTGCCCTAAACAGATTTAAAGTAAGTACAATCCAAGCACATGCGTTCCTGCGTTAAAAATGGCAATGTGTATAAGTGGGTGCAGCTGCGACCGTCAGCTGGAACCGAACAGAATCAGCAAGGCAGAATGTCACCAGCACACCGAGGATCACCAATATGGGTCCAAACGTTTTAACAAACAATCACATAATTACAGCAAGGCAACGTTTCACAGTCTCGCCGGACCCTTCATCAGGCATGTGACACAGGCACATGACTCCGAAATTTGCCTTGCTGTAACTATGCGATCATTTATTAAAACTTTGCTATACAGATTTAAAACCAAACTCTGTGCAGCTATACATAATTACCATTTAAAAAAAGATACGTTTTTCATAACAAATTGGTAAATACTTATATTTTTTTAATACACCTAATATAAGTACCTGAGCCCCTGAGGATGTCCCATTGTGACAAAACACGTAGTGTGAAGCTTCCAGCTGCTGAAGTCATCACGCATGCTGTGGTTTATACAGGTGATGGCTAAATCTAAAATTGTCGAAGTGTTTTAAATTTGCTGTTAATAAAATACCCTTGGGTGATCTGTACTACTCGGATATTCTTTGTTTTTTGGGACATTGATAGTTTCATGCGATACTGGTAGTGGAAGCAGTGCTGTGATCCATTCATAAATTCTGTACACTACTGACTTCTATACTTCAGGGTCCATCCATCTGTTAAGCCGTTGATTTAAAAAGTGGTGGTGGTGTTTGATCTGGTACTCACAGGAGTTTTACTTTTGCTGCAGAAAGCTGCAGCAAGCAGATTGGACTCATGAAGCAATATACAGTATATGGGACATACTTTTAAAGCACAGTGGTGAAGATTTATTAGTTATGGTCACAATGGATGTCTCATTACTACTGCTGCAGCAATTATATTTATATTAATCTAAGTACCTGCATCTGCTTTTATGTTTGCTTCCTGTTATCCGTTACACAGTGAAACTAGATGAGGGAGAGTCAGTATTTAGCACTAGTCAGGCTCTATTGCATTTCACTGAGCATGACAAAAGGAAGAAAATTTGGAAAAGCTTAGAGAAGACCTCATCAGAGAGGACCTACTTCTACCCTTCCAATCATATGCTAGGCTAAGCCTTTCTCTAAGGAGAAAAGTGAGATTAGTGCCATGAAATGATAGTTCGCAAGAGCACCTTGACCACAAAACAGAATTGTATATATTTTGACAGGTGAGACAGCTCATTCATATGTAGTTTAACCACTTGCCCTCCAGAAGATTTACCCCCCTTCCTGATCAGGACATTTTTTGCATTACGGCACTGCGTTACTTTAACTGACAATTGTACGGTCATGCAACACTGCACCCAAATGAAGTTTACGTCCTTTTTTCCAACAAATTGAGATTTCTTTCTGTGGTATTTGATTGCCTGTGCATTTTTATTTTTTGCAATATAAAAAAAAGTCGGAGAATTTTGAGAAAAAAACAATATTTTTAACATTTTGCTATTAACCTCCCTGGCGATATGATTATTTCAGATTTTTGGTGCTGAAAGCAGTAACATTATTTTGCATGGAAATTTGGCGTTTTATATTGTAGGCCTGTAATTCTTAGGAATAACTCACTGAAATCTGTCCGAACAAGAGTCTAGTAAACATCCCGGGTAGGAAAAACTTGAAACACGAAATCATAAATTATAATTTAATAAATAATCATAAAAAATATAAATATAATAATAATAAATTTAATTCAATAATATAATCAAACCAAAAACACTGAAATTTGAAATTTAGTGCCAAGTTTGCACATCGCTGAGCAAAGTCGCAAAATCGTTTTCAGTGTCTGATGACGAATTTCCCCACTAATCATTATCACTCAATTCTATTTGCCCGACATTCAGCTTTAGTTTACTATGCAGTGCAGTAAATGGTTTGTTTGTCAGACGCTTACCTGAACCAATCAGTTCTCGGCTGCCATAGACTGGGCTGTTGGATTTTTCCATAGAGAGATTTGTCTTATCTGCGTTTACTTGTATGCCTGAAGTCCTATTCTCCATCATTGCAGATTTTCATTATTTTTCTACTTCATTCTAGTGCAAGTTATTTCTAAAAGAACATAAAACGGAAAGGTCAAAATAATTTAGCAAAAGAACTTTCTTCAATTATAACACATAGCAAGCACAGTGTGGAAATATAGATATTTCTAACAGTCGGTTGTCATTTGCAGTATAACATTCAGCTTTTTGCTAATATCATGCATGGCTGTAATAAAATATCATTACATTTTGTTTTATTAAATTAGGATCAGCATATCTTCCAGTGGAGGCCCTGAACACACTGACACCGAAGAACAGTATTTCTTGCAGTAATCTTCAAAAGGAAAGAAAATGTTCCATTATTAAAATCACTAATTTAACATGAGAGTGTAACCTGTCACAAACTAAAAGGAGTAGAGCTCTACATTCTTGGCCTGGCCTTAGGTGTTAGGAGGGTCAATCTGACTTTCTTTAGGACCGCAAAAAGACATAGTTCCCACTTAAATCCTGTCGAATGGCTAGCATATCTGATGTGTTTGTAAATTTCTTAAATTAATTCTGGAACCCAATGCTGGTCTTAGGTTATGTGTTATATCTTCTATTCCTATGTCTTTCCCATCTTCTCTCATACATTTTACACCTTTTAATGTATAGTTGTCATTACAATAGTGTGGGGACCACTACCAATGACCTCCTTCTAAAAGTTCTATCTGCCTAACTCTCCATGGCTTCAATTTATAGTGAACCTAAAGTGAAAAAACACAACCGCTCTCCAGTTCAAATATGAAATGCTTAGCAGTCTTGCAGAAAATGCTGCTTCAGGATCAGAGGGTATCCAACTTGTAGTCATAATCAGAATCTTAAGGCTATGACCTCAAACTAGCAGGAGGAACATTCAAAACTGACCTTAAAAAGTATTTTTCTTATTCAAAAAATGTATTCACGTTTTCCACACATATACAGTGTTGTATGGGACGTAAATTGTCACATTGTAACCAATCACACGCACGTGTTTGGTTACAAAGTGCAACTCCACTTATAAAGCAAAAAGCCTATTTGCCATTGTAAATTTAAAACATGCTTGACACAAACAGAACATTGGGCTGAGATGGAAAAACAACTGCAGAGTCTAAAAGACAAAGACACAGACAAATCGGGAGAGTTTAGAAGTATGTGGCTACTCAGACTGGATTACTGTTAAAACATCTGCAAGGCCAAGCAGAATGAAATAGACCATCAGAAATCAGAACATATGGACTAATATAGTCATTCCTTATGCTGCTGGAGTGATAAAAATGCTCAGAAGGCTCTTTAACACACGTTGCATCCCTGTGTTTTTTAAAACTCAGCAATACATTAAGACCAAGACTTGTACGTTCAAACGACTCAACACCCAAACACAAGTGAAATATCTTGGTATATACAGTACAGTTTGGTGAGGTAAACAAAGACCTGTACATTGGGGAGATAAAGCAGCCTCTCAACAAATGAACGGTTCAACATTGGTGGTTAAATTTTACAGGTCAAGATTTTCCTACATCTTAAGAAAAAGGGAGATTCTTTTGAGGGCAGTGAGATGCACAGTTTGGACAGAGAGGATGACTGGTTCACAAGAAGTGAAGAGGCCATCTACATCAAACTGGAACAACCTTCAATGGACAGGCATTGAGGCCTTCAACACATCTGTCTTTTACATATACTGCCATTTGAAATCTCTACCCAGGCATTTTTATAACCGTTCACACCTTTAATGGAAGGATTAACACCTATAAAGACTTCCTAACACCAAGGATGGGATTATGGTTCAACAATTTTCACACCTTCCTGTAACAGACCCAACTGGGACAGGGGCTTTTGGAAGGGACTAGGGGCCAGCCTTCTACCCACCAAGTATGGCCCATGGAGGAGACCTGGGATTTTGTCTGCTTCTTCATGTCAGACAGTGGTGTATTTAGGTTTTGTGCTGCCCTAGGCAACACAAAAATCGGACCCCCCCCCCCCACAGAGAAAGCCTAACATTGACCAACAACACCCCTGCCCTCCCACCCGAGAGAGCCTTCCACTAACACACGGCCCGTCCCCCTGGACAGAAAGTCACTCACCTTCACCCGGTCCCCATGCCACAAGTGTACCTTCTTCCAGGGAGCGGTGCCCCCTCCCTGAAAAGTGGCACCCTAGGCAAATGCCTTGTTTGTCTTGTGGTAAATACGCCCCTGATGCCAGAGCATGGAAAAGAGATTAGTTCAGCCCCTGATCCCATGAAAAGAGGAGATCATTCTCTAATGATGGACATCATGATGAATGCTGAAAGCAAGCCTTGAATAAAGACAATAACATTTTCCTTCTAGAGTGGATGGAAAGGTGTAATATTAATCTTGGACAGGTTAATGGTCAGAGGAAATATGGGGCCTTCCTGCAGTCTGGGTTGGAGAAGCTCCTCCACTTGGGACATAAATATTTATCACCAATCTCCCTCATCAGTACACTTTTCAGACTGCTGGAACACTGTACTAGTTTGTCTAATGGTGACTTTTTTAGTGAACAAATTGCACAGGTGGGGGCCAGGCACCTGAAAGACAGCATGTGTAATGTACTTTGTCTATTCATTGTGAGTTCATGGCTGGCCTGGGTGCTTGGCTGTTGATTAACTTACTATTAATTAGATAGCAGCTAACTGTTAATTACATCACTGTTAGATGTGCTGATGATATTACTGTTTAAAGTTTGCATTATTTAGGATCATGGGATCAAGCTCTTATCTGATCTTGTGTGGTATAAAGTTTCTGTGAATTTTCAATTAAAGGGTATTAGAGTTCCAGTTTTACTTAAAGCGGATCTCCACCCAAAAGGGGAAGGAATGGCACCTTTAGGGAGCGGGTGGGGGAACGGGTACCTGTAATTGACAGGTACCCGCTCCCACTTCTGCTGCGATTGCCTAGGCGATTGAAGATGCCGGCACTTGGAACACAAGACGGCTGGTGAAACGGGTTGAGGGGAGGACACCGCTGGACCAGGACAGGTAAGTGGCTGTTTTTTTAAAGTCAGCAGTTACAGTTTTTGTAGCTGCTGTTATTTTTTCACAAAGCGACTGGAACTCAGCTTTAAGCTAGTGTCATCTAGTCTTTGGGTGCAATGCCCAGCTATAATAACTTGGTCCTGTGTAACAGCACCAAGGATGCAGTTCTCTGACAGAGGAACTCAAGCGTATGCCAGGCATTCCATTACACTTCCATCCTTGGGCAGTAACATCTGCCTTTCCATGGTAATGTTACCTATATGTGCTGCTACCTATGTGGATTTTCCTGACACATTAGAACTGAAAAAGTGACTTGGATAAGCAACAAAATGTCTTCAACACTAAAGAGCAAGTCCAGTTTAAAGTGACTTACTAGTACTAATTTTATATGAACTGGATAAATAAGAACCTTCACAGATTTGTTGTAAATTGCCAAGTTAACTTCTTTCCACAGGTACTTAGAAAAGCCTTTCTCAACCAAGGCACCCAGGCACCTTGAGGTTTCTTCAGGGGTGCCTTGGCAAAATGTCTAAAAATTGCCCAAAACTTATATACAAGCCAGCGGGTGGGACAAGCCTGACTGTTAGTTACACAAAGCCATAGGTTTTCATTGTGCACCATTACAACCTGACAACAAATTACATCATCAGTTGATAAGGAGGATGTCAGCTGCCTGCACAGCATCCTACTTTGACCCTCCCCTGCCCCTTTCCATTAGTGCTGGGGTCACATTAGCTCAGTGAAAAACTGGAGAAGAGGAATACTAGTCAGTACCAGTGTGCAAAAGTTTATTTGTTTTGAAATAATAAATCACCTCTAATATTGGGTGTCCTACATGTGTGGATGTTGATGCATTATATAAAACTATTAGAATAGCTTTTCACATTTTAGAATGGGGTTCATAATTTTAAAGGGTGCCTCGAGATTGTTCTTAATTTTAAAGAGTGCCTCGAGACTGTTCATAATTTTAAAGGGTGCTTCGAGACTGTTCATAATTTTAAAGGGTGCCTCGAGACTGTTCATAATTTTAAAGGGTGCCTCGAGACTGTTCATAATTTTAAAGGGTGCCTCGAGACTGTTCATAATTTTAAAGGGTGGCTCGAGACTGTTCATAATTTTAAAGGGTGCCTCGAGACTGTTCATAATTTTAAAGAGTGCCTCAAGACTGTTCATAATTTTAAAGGGTGCCTTGAGACTGTTCATAATTTTAAAGGGTTCTTGAGACTGTTCATAATTTTAAAGGGTGCCTTGAGACTGTCCATAATTTTAAAGAGTGCCTCGAGACTGTCCATAATTTTAAAGGGTGCCTCAAGACTGTTCATAATTTTAAAGGGTGCCTCGAGACTGTTCATAATTTTAAAGGGTGCCTCGAGACTGTTCATAATTTTAAAGGGTGCCTCGAGACTGTTCATAATTTTAAAGGGTGCCTCGAGACTGTTCATAATTTTAAAGGGTGCCTTGAGACTGTTCATAATTTTAAAGGGTGCATCGAGACTGTTCATAATTTTAAAGGGTGCCTCAAGACTGTTCATAATTTTAAAGGTTGCCTCGAGGCTGTCCATAATTTTAAAGGGTGCCTCAAGACTGTTCATAATTTTAAAGGTTGCCTCGAGACTGTCCATAATTTTAAAGGGTGCCTCAAGACTGTTCATAATTTTAAAGGGTGCCTCAAGACTGTTCATAATTTTAAAGGGTGCCTTGAGACTGTCCATAATTTTAAAGGTTGCCTCGAGGCTGTCCATAATTTTAAAGGGTGCCTCGAGACTGTTCATAATTTTAAAGGGTGCCTCAAGACTGTTCATAATTTTAAAGGTTGCCTCGAGGCTGTCCATAATTTTAAAAGGTGTCTTGACTGAAAAAAGGTTGAGAAACACGGACTTAGAAGACCCATCCACACAGCCCAATCCTATTACCAAACAGTTCCAACCAAATATACATGGAGAGGCCAATGCTTGCTGACGTAAAGCCAAATGAATCTCTCCAGTCTATGAACAGCATGATCCACAGATCATTGTTACATCTAAATAAACAAGCCTGAAATAGTCTTATAATAAACCTAACCCTTTACAAAGCAAAATATATTAGAAAGCCACAACATCAAAATGAATAACACTTCTAGGTTTTCTAAAACCTCATTTTACAAGGGCAGACTTTGAGGGTGCAACAACACATTGGTTGGTTAGCAGACATAAACTGAATGGTGTTCTAACGAATATTTACAGTTCCCTCAGGGCTTTAATAATGTACAGATTGTACATCAAATGTTCAAATGAAACGTATGTACTCTATTCACACAAGAGTGCTATTTGTAATGTGTGCATTTCTCCTCTCAGCCTGACATCAAGGACAGATAGAGTGTGGCTGCTGGGAGTGCTTGTGTATTAACTCAGCAGCACTCTATCCATCACCTTAAATTGAACTCTGGGGTACAAATATAAATAGGGTTTACAAGAAGGTATGCAGTTAAGTGGCATAATATAAGGAGTTGTGAAAAGCTCTCATTATTCTGACAAGGATTCATCACTACGTTATTGAGCGCTGCATTGATGTAATGCTCGAAGTGTGCAGATTAAAAAGCCATTACACCTAAAATGCAGACTGACTCAGGGTAAAATATGTGCTTGATATTGTGCGGAACCTAGTTATCTGTCACTGTAAACTATTGTCCTCTATTATGAGTCATTTTAGCTTCAATGCTTCCCTGCAGGGTCGTTGAATAGCTTTACTAGCAACAAAGCTCATGCATCAGGACCTGCAAGGACTGATTATCAGGCTAGCTGTAATTACTGATGTATTCGTCCTAAAAATACGTTCTTGATTTTAAACAACTTTTATTTTGATTATTTATAAAAGAGAAGACTCTAAAAGCTGGCCATAGATGGCTCAAAATTTGTCCAGGTTGATCCATATATGGCCTCATATAACAAAAAATGCAGCGCAATACTATAAACTTGCATATATTGCTAAATAATAAAAACATGCATATGTGAATAATGAAACATAAATCATGCTAGGTGACAATGAATAAATATAAACCCATATCTGTGCATAAACTGCATGTAACAGTGCTACCAGGGGCGGACTGACCATTTGTAAACTCAGGCACTGCCCGAGGGCCCGGGGTCAGTAGGGGGCCCCATTAGATGCCCCTGGTACCTTTTTCATAGGCTTTTTTGAGTTTGGGCAAGGACACAGGGGCTCCATGATCCCCTATTGCCCGGGGGCCCCATGAGTTGTCAGTCTGCCCAAGTGCTACATATATAGTGTATCCAAACACAAATGAATCATCTCAATAGTGCACCGTTCCTTTAATGCTCCCCAATCTTCTCATGTGCTGATGCAATATGTCTCCTGTGCATCATATATCAAATACCATCAACAAGTGTCCCAATACTATGATAGCACTGGTGAACTTTCCCTTTAAGACCGTAGTGCTCCAAGTGCATATGTGCAATCACTCCACTGCGTATACACATCCGGTGCTTCTGTGTGAACCCCCAGTGTTATCCACCTCCGACACACTTTTGCGCTCACCTTATGGTTTGACCCAAAAATTCAGGTCAAACTGCGCCTTTCCCTTTAACCCAGGTGGGTATGCTGGTACACAGATCTCCACCTTCTGCACTTCTAAGCTCCAAAATGCTCCACAGATAAATGAAAAAAAAAATGCTCCAAACAGTGAAGTATATCAAAATGTGTAAAACTTTATTAAAATACTGTAAAATATTGCACTCACATTCATACGTGTCCACCTGGGACACTACAGGATCAAAGGACTCTGTATACAGTGTTATTCCATGAATGAACTACATGGATCTCTTATTCAAAATGGCGGTACGTGCACTACCGGTTCTAAGGCTTGACGTCATCGGCATACCGTACACGTTATGTGACTTCATCAGGCCATTTTGGCTGGAGGGAAGTCAAGCAAACAATCGGATTCTCTCAGACGGGAATGTTGGAAAATTTCCATTCAATTATTACATTTAGCTAATTGGCTCCAGTATTGATTAGTCTATTCTGGCAGCAGGGGATTCAGAATACAATAGTACAGCAGGGTGGATTCCTTCATCCACCTTGATTGTTTGGATGCAGGAATCTGTTTGTTCCATATGCTCATAGATAGATCTGTTTGATCCATCTATGGCCAGCTTATTTTTTTTTTTTAAATAACAAACATGTTTTACTTACCTGCTCTGTGCAATGTTTATGCACAGAGCAGCCCTGATCCTCTTCTTCTCGAGTCCTCTGCTGGCGCTGCTGGCTCCTCCCCCTTGACCAGTGCCCCCAATAGCAAGCCGCTTACATGCATAGAATGCATGAAGGTAAAAAAACCTTCAGCCTTTACAACCACTTCAAGGCTCATCTTCATTCATATCACTGCCTAGTAAGTGCTTGACTTGGCTGCATGCTTTCTCTGGATCAGTGACTAACTAGGTAATGAAGCAAGACAAGAGAATATGAAGCTGTCATTGCTGGTCTCTCCTAAAAATAAAGTTACTTGCCAGCCTGTCATGTTAATTCAGTGCCTTTAAAACAGTAGTAAACTCCGCCTTTACAGTTACACCTACAGGTAAACCTATATAAAAAAAACAGGCATCAGGAGGCAACAGTAGCACCTGTAAATAGCTGCTATACCTTCCTTTGAAAAGCGTTTCCCCTGTGAATTGCTCTTCAGAGAACGATATGCATTGCTGCAAATGTGAAATACCTGGAGAAAGTATGCAAATCAGGAGTTCTGACTTTATGCTAACATCTTTAACCTGAGTCCCTGATCGTGAGTGAATCAGAAAGTACTGAAGAACAGCAAATTACAGGAAACTAGTATTTTTAGAAGGAGGTCAGCAAAGGTAGTTCCTTTATTACAGCAAACATATCTATAGCAAACTATATGCTGAAATAGTGGGAAATTCTGAATTATGCATCACTTGCAATAATCAGACAACATACTTGTAAGAAATGACAAAAATTGGAACTTTCCAAATGACAAAAAAAACACAGCTTTACTGAATAAAATTCAGCATGTTGAATAAATGTATGTTTTTAGAGCATTAAACTGGGAAAGCGGTGATCTATGAAGTCTTGGAAATGATCCTGTGGCTGAACATACATTCAAGAGCAAACATTGATAAGATCTGACAGAAATCCACATCATGAAATATTGTTTTCCTCTAAAAGAATATATCATGACCAGTATAAATGCTTGCTGGAGAATGGGAGCATTGAATCTCTGTGCCAATGTATAATCGGCTCTGTCCATGATAAATTACATTTCATGGGAACTAGCATCCTATTTACTAAGGCTGTGATCTTTCTCTGTGGGCCTCAATTTCTGATGATAATGTGGACATCTCAGCTTGGTTTACTAAATCCCTACACGCTGTGCACAAGTGTACATGAAATGCATACTTGTGATGAGCATATGAATCCACTCGAGTCTTACACACATCACCGTATTTCAATTTTTTCTATTTTTTTTTTTTTTTTCTATTAATTATCATTTATTATTTTGCATCACTATTTGGCATAGCAGCTCACAAGATTTTTGCACTTTGTACATTAATCCAAGCCTCGCTCTCAGCGTTCATCGCGTTGTTGTCCATCATTAGAAAATGATCTGTTCTTTCCATGGGCCATAATCATTGGGTAGAAGGCTAGCCCCTAGTCCCCTCCAAATGCCCCTGTCCTGGCTGGATCTGTCATAGTTATAGGCACAGTATTTTGATAGATCAGTAATTTGCTCAAGTTTTTATTATTCGTTTTACAGGCTGGTACAATGGAACCTACAGTGGCAGGTCACGTAGTCATTTCAAGGGGCTTGAAGATGATAGGGAGGGATTCAGGAAATTTGAAACAAGTGTATTGTGCTCGGTCTGGCACAGGCCAGTTCAATGCAATACATGTTTTTACGATTATTACGTTTTTTCTAATACATTTGTACAAGGTAGGTTTAGCTGGTGTCTTGTTTGCCACATTTTCTATATCTTTGGTTTTTAGCTATGTGGGTTTGTACAGCTTCAACCCACCAAGCTTGCAGGACAGGACAGTGTGAGTACTTCTACACCCCCTGGGCCAGATAAAGGGAGAGGGCAGTCAGGTGCAGGACCCAACTAGTTCTCATTTGGGACTACTTCATTTTTAGATCTTGCAATCCCTTGACCAGGTATACCCTCAGTGCAGCTGACTAAAGAGGAGAATTCATTTGGGGTCTGAGGAGGTAAACCAAGGGGACTTCAGTGCCCTATCCAAGTTGTTAACCCCTTAAAAGAAACAACTAAAAACCACCTCAAACACTGTGTTGTTGACTCTGAATGTGCAAGTGTGGAAAATGCGTGTTGCCTGGCCGTGCAGAGCTTAGGGGGACCCAATTCAAATCCAGCGGCCCTCAAAAAGGTAGTGCTACACCATGTACGCAAAAGTGCACAAAATAAATGCAAGAAATTTTGGCCAGGAATACTGATGTTCAAACATCAGCACCGTGTGGAAGCACCCTAACAGAACAGGGTAGGAATTTTGAAAATGCCCACAACATGTAAAACTAGGAAAAGGGAAACTAAAGTATGTACATATGGTTCACACCACAATTTCTGCATTTTGGATGAGTTTTTGCATATGCATTTGTGTGCATTTATTATGCATTTTTGATGCAATTACAATAGTATTGAAGTATCTAATGTGTTCTCTTTATTTTGACACTTTAAAAAAATATTAGGACAATGTGAATTCAGGCGCATTTACATGTGTTCCAGTGCATTTACATTCATTTTGCTGCATTCCAGATGCATTCCGTACCAAAAACTGCAGCAGAATATACTTTTTTTGACTGCACTGGAATTGA